CTTCTTGCCGGCCGCATTGCCGGGCACCAGCTCGCCGCCCTCACGCAGCCGGTCGATGATCTTGTCGTAATCGTCAACACCGTCGTCGCTCGACTCGTCCGTCTCATCGTCGTCTAACAATGCGTTCTTCTTGAGGAGCTCGTGTGCCAGCACATACAACTGCAGCATCATCTGGCTGGTCGGCAGCATATGGATATTAAGGACATGCAGAGTAAAGGCGTCGTCAGTGAGGAACTGCGTCTCGAGCTGCGCAATCAGCACCAGGTAGTCTTGCAGGAACTTGCGCACCGATGCACACAGCGCATGGTTGACAAGCCCAAACGACTCGCGGCTCTGCACGTCGACGAATGTCTCTAGCGCCACATAGTGGGTGGCTGTCCGTAGCATCGATGCCGCCAGATCCTGCAGGCTGGGATCGAGACCGGGCAGGATACGCCACGTCGGTCCTGTGAGCCGGTCGCGCTCTTCGTCGGGGACGTAGCCCTTGGCAAAGCGAATATACTGGCCTTCGCAGCCCATGAACACGGACAACAGGTCCTCTATGATCACAGCCTCCTGCGCCTCGAGAGACAGGCCGCCGAGCGCAGCTGGCTGCAAAGTGGCCGGCACTTGTGAAGCGAGAGGAGGTATTGAAACACGCGACGCAAGTGGCGCTGTCGTGTGGGGCAGCAATGTCACCTCGGGCTTCCATGGCACGGTGGGCGCTGCTGGAGCGGGCACGTCCCTTGCGCGCGCGTCGACGGCATTTCTGGATGCGGGTTTGTCCCTCGATGCTGTCGTCGTCGTTGTCGCTCGCGCGGGGGCCTGTCGTTCAGGGCTGCGGACGCGCGTCACATATGTGTCCCGTGTCGTGATGACGGTCCGTTCGGTGCGCCGCTCTTCGGAGATGTTCGTCCTGCCGCCCGTGGGGGTCCCGCCTCTTGCTGCCCGATTCGCCGCACCTTCGGCGCCGAGCCCAGACGCGCCGGTTGGCCCACCGGTGCCCGCAGCTCGACTACTTGGCCGTGGGTTGCCTGAGGCCGTCCGCTTATGTGATGTGCTGCTGTATGTGTGCTGTGATTGCTGCTGGTGTTGGTGCGGCGGCGGTGGCGGAGGCCCCTCACGATAGCGCGTGTCTGACCGCTCGTTGCCCTGGAAATTGTCGTGCACGCCGGGAATCTGCTGGTTGTGTCCGTACGCCGCGTTGTTGCTGGCTGCCGTTGCCGGCGAGTGGCTCGTGCGGAGTCTTGTGCCCGCCCCGCCGGCATTGACGGCCGCACCATTGCTGTTGTTGCTGTGCGCCCGAGCGGCGGTAGACGACATGGTCGTCAAATTCCGAGTTTGGTATTGTTCCGCATGCGGTTATGAAAGGATCGTGGTAAGAGTGAGGCCGCAAGAATTATTGACCTGTAGATGCTTCAGAGGTGAGAATCAAAACTATAATTCCGGGTGCGGTAAAGCGTCGCGACGGAAGGAGGGGATCTTGTCGAATCACGGTGCGGGTCAAGGAGGAAAGCGCGTTCTGTGGTGTAATAATAGCTCGCGTACCATCGTCCAAAAGAGTGACAGCTTGTTTTATTACATAAGCAAAACCAACTACCAGAAGTGGCTAGTGTCTCTGAACGTCTCATACACATCTATCATCATGTTCGTTGAAGAACCAAACCTGAAAGATTTGGAGACGTGATATTTTTCATTATTTTAATTCAGCAAGCCAGAGCTGAAGATCTGAAAAGTCTGAGAGGAGAACAAAAGGAAGATTTGTAATGATATGCTGCAGTAAAAGCACGACGACTACACTTCACCGCTGGCTTTTCAGCTTCCACAGATGCCTATTTCAAATACAGCGAGCATACGCACCTCAGAACAGTCACGCTATTACGTTTCCTGTACCGCAAATAATCACCCCAAATTATCCCGGCCATGGCGTCAGGCCTCGATTCCTTGTTGTATCGGCCGCGTCCCAGCGAATGGCAGTTGTTCCTGCGACAACCGTGCGTCTATGTTGCTCGGCTTTTATTCTCCTGGCGTTCCGTCAGCCCCCAAGAGCGCACAGCAGACGGTGTGTCTGTCGTTTGCATCTCTGACACGCACAACCACCAGCCTCGATTGCCCGACGGCGATGTGCTCATCCACGCCGGCGACTTGACCCAGTCCGGGTCGTTCATCGAGCTCGAGGAAACGCTGGCCTGGTTGCGCCGACAAACACACGCGGTTAAGATTGTCGTCGCCGGAAACCATGATGTATTGCTCGACGAAGTCAAGAGAGGCCAGCGAGAGGAGGACGAACGGCAACACCGCGCCCTCGACTGGGGCGACATTGTGTATCTCGAAAATGACGAGACAACGGTGACCTGCCCCAACGGCCGGCGGCTGCGCGTATACGGAAGCCCACTCTCGCCGCGTCACGGAAACTGGGCCTTCCAGTACTCCCGCGCGCATGACGTATGGGCTCAACAGACCCCTCCGATTTCTCCAGGCATCGATGTTCTCATCACACATTCCCCACCACACGCCCATCTTGACCGACAGCTCGGGTGTGTGCACCTCTTACGGACAATCTGGCGCGTACGCCCACGGCTGCACGTCTTTGGCCATGTGCACGATGGAGCGGGCACGGAGTGGGTGCAGTTTGATGCGCTGCAATCTGCGTACGAGAAAACAGTCCTGGACAATGGCTACTTGCGCAACATGCTCAATCTGGGCCAGGTATTTGTCCTTTTTGTTTGGTTACGAATCTGGCCCGCATCGGAAACTACAAAGTGTTTGCTCGTAAACGCGGCCACAGTTGGCGGCATACGGGATGACACACTGCGACAGCCAATTCAGGTTCTTCTATAATGTTACGGATGGATATGGAAGGTATCGGTATGGCTGGACTTCTCCAGGTTATAAATATTATCGAAATGTGTCGTAGCAGTTGAAGGATAAATTAAATAAACAATACACAATGTCTCTTTTGTGTCGAATCGAATCCTCCGCATATGACAAGATTCGAGGTCATTCCCACGGCCTCTTGTAGGCCGTGGATTGTCGAATACAACTCAACATATGCCCGCAGTTAATTCTCTGTCTATGATTCCGGTTGCAAAGCGTCTGTCCCATATCTGTTTTGTCGTCGAAGATACAGTTAACACCATCTAATCGTGACCTTGACTTGGCGCGACAAAACACACTAGTCCTTATTCGGTCTCAATACCCACTTTTAGCTGCCCTCTCCTAGCGGCAATGCTGGAGCTTGGTGGCCAGCCGCCGCCTTCCCAGAAGCTGGCGTAGGCGGTCTGCTTGCCTGGACGCCTCATAGGCGGCGAAGCTGTTCCAATCGATTTCGTCTTGCATCGCATCGACACAACGTCTCAAACGCACCGTCACCACCGGACAACCTGCGTCCTGCCCGCCGCACTTTGACGACCGAGCATTAACGATATTCGCATCAGAATTACCTTTCCCATTGCCACTCTAGGGCCCTCCGTTTCGTTCCACCAACCGCCAAAATGTTCATGTCACGATCCGAATACGGTGCGTCTTCACCATCTGCAGCCTTGCCTCAAGGGGGGCTGCCCTCTCCCGACTCCCCGTCCGCTCCATGTTGCTAACATCTTTGTCATTTTTTAGACCGGGGTATTAAGTACGTACTGCGATGACGAGCTATCCACGATGCACCTTGACCGCACCCCTCTCTCGCCTACCCACCCACGAGACCCCATCTTCCGACTGCTAACCTCCTTCTTTCCCTCCTTCTCAGCACCTTCTCCCCCGAAGGCCGTCTTTTCCAGGTCGAATACTCGCTCGAGGCCATCAAGCTCGGCAGCACAGCCATCGGTGTCGCCACCTCCGAGGGTGTTGTCCTCGGTGTCGAGAAGCGCGTCACGTCGACGCTCATGGAGGTCAGCTCCGTCGAGAAGATTGTTGAGATCGACACCCACATTGGCTGCGCCATGTCGGGCCTGCAGGCCGACGCCCGCAGCATGGTCGAGCATGCGCGCGTCGAGTGCCAGAGCCACGCCTTCAACTACGCCGAGCCGCTGAGCGTCGAGAGCTGCACGCAGGCCATTTGCGACCTGGCCCTGCGCTTTGGCGAGTCTGCCGACGGCGAGGACAGCATCATGAGCCGGCCCTTTGGTGTTGCCCTGCTGATTGCAGGCTACGACTCGACCGTCGGCCCCGACGGCAACGAGGGCGGCCCGGCGCTGTACCACGCCGAGCCCAGCGGCACATTCTACCGCTACGACGCCAAGGCCATCGGGTCTGGCTCGGAGGGTGCCCAGGCCGAGCTGCAGAACCAGTACCACAAGGTGCGTTTTGCCTCACTCCGTTTCTGCAATGTTGCACTTCCACAGTCTGCCCCGCCGTACTAACCTGCCACCTTGCCGCGTAGTCTCTCACCCTCGAGGACGCCGAGACGCTAGTGCTCAAGACGCTGAAGCAGGTCATGGAGGAGAAGCTGGACGAGAAGAACGTGCAGCTGGCCAGTGTCACAAAAGAGAAGGGCTTCCGGTTATACACGGACGAGGAGATGGCCGCCGTGGTCGAGCGACTACCGGCAAACTAAAGGCATGCAGAAGCTGGGGGAACGACGGTGACCTGAGGCTGCTGGGGCTGAAGGCACCAAGCGGAATGGATTTGTAACGAATACAGATAGTAGAAACTCATCAAAAGCCAGGATTCACTTGCCCTTTGTTCGCTTATTGTGATGTGTAGATTATTACGTACTGTGCCTACAGCCCTTTCCAATACTCCGTTGAAGACATCCAAAGTAATTTGCCTGTCGTTTTTGTATGCGAGCTCCAAATTCCTAGCACCCCTTTCATCCCAGTCATCCCAACAGGACGCAAAACATTATCCCAAACCCTTTTCTGACACCAGTGATCCTCCATATACACCAACATATGAAAAAAGCAATTTAAAAAATAAAAGAAAGAAAGATAGAGAACGGGACCAAAGCAATCAAATATGAAGTAGCCCAAAGAGTCTTTCTAGCACACGGCCATAGGAGGGGTTTTTGCCGTCCTTGCAGAGTCCTACTCGTGATCGCTAAGATCCAACCTTTCGAGATCTGTCTCCACACTGAGCAGACCGACAGCGTAGTGCGGACGTTCAGAGGTAGACAATACCAAACGCTCCTCCACGTCCTCGAGTTCTCGCACACGGTCGATGATCCGTCTCGGCTGGTTCCAGATCGACAGTGGAGCTGCTTCTAGATCTGGCGGAGACTCGTAGGGCGGCCCACGGCCCAAGTTCGCGGCCTTGACCCAGCCGGACTCGCAGCCGTTTGCAATCTGCCGAGCGGACTGCCATCCCGTCAACCGTGCAACATTGTGCATCCTCCTAACCGTCCAATGCCTTTGGGCGGTATCTTGGTACTGAACAGCGGCAACAAACAGCGGGAATGAGCTTTCGATAGAAACGCATCCGAGAAGTGTGCTGACGCTGGACATGGTACCCATGTCCTCGCCACCAATACCGGCCACAATGCGGCCGATCTGGATAGCGAAAGGGGCGGTTTGCTGTGCGGCCATGCCTGCGGCGACCATAGCAATAGGAGGCATCGTGGGATAGCAGCGATGTAAAACTATTAGTCCCATGTAATAGTTCATCCAAATGCCGGCGATGCTGTAGGTTCGGTATTTAAGAGCCGGACCGAACGGACTGCTGACGGGGGTGTCGAATTCGGGGCCGAGCGGTTCAAAACCTGGACCGAGTTGGGCCCGGAAGACTTCGAATGTTTGGCGGATGGCCTCCCATTCACGCATGGCAGCAGCTGTACGCGCTTCGATGTCGACGTCGTCATGTTTGTCGCTTTGCGGTGACACCTCGCGTGGAGGACTGAAGCCTTTGGGGATTGTGATGTGTCCTGTGGAGGGCATCATGCCGACAAACCCGGGAGGCGACTGGCCCTGACCACCACCAAGGCCATCGGACCGCATCATCTTTCGTTTCCGGGACTGGTCTTTTGAAGCAAAGCTGCATAGCCGGCCGAGAAGGAGAATAAGATGATCGTACGTTCCATATCTGTTCGGTCAGTGACATTGAACATCGCAGAAAGTAATAGTTATTAAAAGGTTTGCCAGCGATATATTACTTACATCGCATCAATCTTGCTGATTGGGGCACGAGGAGTGCATTGTGTCCAACAGCCGTATTCCATCCTGTCAAAGAGACGTTATTAGAGACATAAGAACCGTATAGGTAAGGCCGCTGGGACCGTAAGAACTCACAAGAGAGGTGTGCCGCCGAGAATGCTCTGGTACACATCCATCTTGCAGTACCACCAGAAGACATCTGCAATTAGCTCGTACGTTTCGATATCCTTCTCGGTGTAGTGCTGGGGAGCGGTCCACGAAAGTGGTGCTGCCGAAGACACAGGGGCTGGTGGCGTAGAGTCGTCGTAGGCTACCGGCCGCCCCGAGAGTTGCGCAACAAGAGCGGTATCAACTTGATCGATGTCTCGCTCTGCAACGATCTTGTTTGCATAATCGTCTTTGCCAGCTTCTGGACTAGAGTTGTTTAGGTATTGGCGCTGTTGTCGCTTCAGAGCAATGATCCTTTTTGTCATGTCTCTGATCGGGATCTCCCGCAAAATAGCACGGGCACCCCACAGATGCTTGCACCACTTGTCATGGTCCGAGTTCCATACTTCATAGAACCCAAGAAGCATTGTGGCGGCCAAAGTCGCGGGCTGTACGCGGCGAGATGGGCTCCCGCAGTTCCGCGCGATTCTCCGCAAGCTCAAATGATAGTGCTTCATCGAGGCCGTATGCGGCGCGCCTTGGAGTCTTGCCATCTGAAGACTGCCAAGAGCAAGCATCGCCTGAAGTAGTGCAGGGTGGTTGAGAGCAATGATCGGGAACGTGTCTAGCAAGTTAGTAACTTAAAAGATTCGAGAGAAAAGATGGCGCTGAACAAATAAATAAACAGAGAGAGACATACAGGTCCAGATGTGTTGTCGAGACCGGGGCACAGGTTGGCCTTGAAAGATGGGCGTTGGGTCGACTGGACGGCGTTCGAAAAGTGACATGCTAGGACCAGTGACGTTGACAAAGTACCAGAAAACCGAAGCGGTTTGTGCGTCATTGAGAGGCGAGTTAATTGAAGATGGAATGTAAGTTGCCAGCACGTTGGCGTCTGCAAAATTTGAAAATGTTCGCATTTGGGTGCCAAAGGCATCAGGTGGACGATTGTGCAAACGCCTTGCAACAATAGCACCGAGGTCATTGGATTCCAGGTGTTGCGCCTCGTCCTCGGACTCTCCTTCCTCGTCTTCGGATGCCGCCATGGATGCGTCATCGTCGGGGTGCCAGTACGCGGTTTCTTCATCATAAATAAACCTGGCTGGCTTTCCTTCCTCGTTGATAAACGTCCGAACGGCTTCATGGGGCACGGGAATTCTAGTGACGTCGGGAACTTGGTCTCCACTGGGCCATTGTGCCGGGTTGATCGGAACGTGTGCCGCAGACGCTTCGGCAGTGGTTGGAATTGACTCATAGCCCACAGGCGATATCAAAGGTGGCTGGTTGAAGCTGTTGAGGTCCACTGTCTCCTGGCGTGATTGCTGCCATGTTTGATGTTGGAAGGTTGTTGGATCCACATGCGGATTTTGGGGGCTCAGTGGCATGTACGGCACCTGGTGAGGCTGTAATGGTATCGGCTGCCCTTGGTGGTAAAGCTGTTCCGCATGGAGCGGAAGCCCCTGCATTTGTATTGGCTGCTGATGCATGTGATGCTGGAGGTGATGCGGCATTCCACCCGGAGGAATGTCGGACGCCATCGGCGGCCTTGGGGCGATGAACGGAAGTGGTGTCTGGGCCTGGGGTGCCATGTGTCTTGCGGAGCCGGCCATGTGTGGATTAACAAGCATGCTGTGGGGCGGTGCGTTCGGAAAGATGAGGTTTCCCATGTGGTTGGTTTGAAAGGTGCCCATGGGGTCTTTGAAGACGACGCGTTGATTGTAGCCATCGCATTGTCTTTTTGATTTGATACAGTTGTTGCATCGGGGCTTGGTCTCGTCGCACTTGATACGTCTCCGTCGGCATGCTTCGTGTTGTTAGCAGGAACTGAACGTGAAAAATCACAGTGAAATGCCGGCTTTACGTCTACCGTGACGTTCAGAACTTACTTAAACAGCCTGTTTTTGTTCGCTTCTTCACAACTGGCTTTTGGGCCATTGAAGTTTGAGAAGGCTCTTGGTTATCAGCGGCCGACGTGCGGCGCGTGTCCGACGACCCAGGTTGCAAATTTTCTGATTCCATATTGCCAAGAGATCCGAATTGTACGTTTAGCGTTCGCTCTGCTCGAGAGGCCGTCGAAAGCTGTGCGGTTTTGACTACTTTTCAAGTAATAAAACTGTCTTTTGTTATTCGAATAAGATATAGACTGTAGGATGGCGGGACGACGATGTTGGCCAGAGGCGAGAAAGGATCGATAACGAGGGATCGATAACGAGCTCGCAAGAGGTGTTCAAGAGGAAAAGACGAGGATCCTCAAGCACCGACCACGCTCGTCACCCCGCAAGAGACTGGAGGTCGTATAGAAGAAACAACGAGGGGGGCGTTGGCCGGTGAAGACTGAACAAGGTAGGAAAGCCAAGGCGAGTGATGTGGCAGTCCGACTCTGGCCAGGCTCAAAACGGGGAAAATAGCAAGGCACCCTGGATTATGCACGTACTATGCGCTCTAGAAGCAACCTCCGAAGCAAGTCTCTTTTGCGGTTGATTTCACTCTCCTCTCTGCCGTGCGCTCTGGCAGTGAGACAATGAGCAGGGCTCAGACTATCAATCGGCCGGAACAAAGCAGCAGGTCGGAGTTCGCGCCTGTGGGCAACCGCGTTCGCAGATATGGAGAAGGGCCGCCGCATGGGAGATATGAGAGAGACGCTGTGGGAATAGGAGACCAATCCTTTCGGCGTAAGCGATTAGAGGAGCGGATGTGCGTGTGTCAGGAGAGGATGGCTCTGCACAGCAGCAAGTGTATCTGGGGTGTTGCTCCCTTTTGCTGGGGCTGAGCTTGACTATTTGGATCCGTGGTTGCCAGTGTGAGATTTCATCCGCTGCAGAACCCTTGTCGAACGCGGGTTCTTCCCAGATCACTTGCAGTTTCACTTGCAGGGCCCTCTTCAGTCACTTTTGCAGGTCCCCAAGGAGTCGTTCTGTACGATACAGATTAGGTGATCTGGCTCTGGTTTGTCTTTGTCCTTCGTCGAGGTAGCAAGAGGATCCGGGAGAAAATCAAATAAAATAAAAGACGAATGACTTGGCAGAGAAATGAAATTGCAGCCAGAAAAGTAAAAATAACACAAAGAGTATGACGAGTGAGACAGCTTTCGTGTAACGGTAGCCGGTGGTGGTGGACAGATACGGTCGGTTGCACACACAAGGCACCCTGCCAGTCTCTGACGAGCAAGCAGGTCGAGGAAGCGAGATGCGGCGAGCGTGACAGCTGAGGTGGCCTGTCGGCCAGGAAAAGACCTGATGCCAGAACCGTTCCAGGGAGGCAAGGTACCGGGTTCTTCCACCACAGAGAACTGGGCCGGGTTGGACGGGACCAGCTTGGAACAACGAAAGCAATTGAGATGATGCGGGAAGGAAAGTCGGGTGAGATGCAGCAGGGCAGGTCGTGGACCGGTAAGAGATCTTGAGAAGTTAGGCGGCCTGTTGGCTGATTTGCGGAATGTTGCTCTACGAGACCAGCATTTTGTCCCTGAGCGTTTTGGGGCGATTATTAAACCAAATCCTCTTAAATATGAGAAGAAGGTGTGAATAAGGTGTGAAAAAATGAGGTTCGGTCCGAGCTGCTGAGAGAGGAATGCCGATTCAACAAGGTGGCGACGATAGACGGGACGTAGTCAAGAGACAATTGATCGCAAGAGTAAAGAGGGGCCGCGAGACGGCAATTAAAGTGGGGTGTCGGGAAGCAGTTGCACTCTGTCGAGGCTGCAACCCAGCGAGGTAGACAAAGACAGGTAGCTGAGAGCAAGGTTGAAAGGGCAGGACAGGGCACAGCACCAGATGGCAAAACTGAGAGGCCACGCTAGTTGGAAATGCCAGAAAGATTGTTTTTGACAAAGCAGAAAATACAAACAGCAGCGTAGGCAAGACGATGCTGTTCAGTTCGTTCTCAGCGGACTGAAGTGTCGAAATACTTGACTGCGAGCATGAGATGGAGCAGCGTTGGTGCTTTGTGTAGTGTTGTTACGCCGTACGCCCTTGAGATCATATATGGCGGGTCTTAATGCACTTGCGGGCGCCGAAGAAGGGCCATTGCCTACAAACAAGAGATTGGCCGAACTGTCTGGAGTGTGTGGGTTCGTCGTCGCATGCCTAGGAAAGGCCTTGTGCCTCGAGATGCAGCAACTGGTTGGATGCCGGCAAGTGGGTGCAGAATGAGGTTGTAAACACAGCACCGAGGGACGGCCGCTGGCAGCCGCTGTCGTACGTGATGGAAGGCCGAGTGATAGTGATGCGGTAGGGTGAGATTTGCACCGTAAGATGAAAGGATAGAGGAAAAGATCTCTAGGGGTAAAGTTATCGACAAATGTTGAGAAAGAGAATCGAAAACGGCATTAGATTAGACGAGAACTTAAGGAAGCTTTCAGCGGAGTACAGGCAACGCCGAGAGACAGGCTAGAGTGGGGGATGGGTTGGGACCGGGGGTCTTTGTGATGGAGACGATGAAGGACGAGGGTGGGAAAGATTGTTTTGATGTGGAAAAACTTGAGAAAATGTGAAGTGAAGAGCCAAGTCAGGAGGAAACTGTAGGGCTCCAAAAACGGTAAGCACGTGGAGTGATGGGCGTAAAACAACCAGGCAGTCGTATGAAGAACGATGGGAAGTGGAAGGACCTGACCGAAGGAAGGCGCCGTGGGTCGCTCGAGCAGCAAAGAGGCAGGAAGGCGTGCAGCATCGTGGATCCACAGCACGAGCATTCGCGATCGACGGCTACAAACTCCATTCAATAATTATGTAGCTGTATCGGACCGGGAAGGAAGAACAGAACAGCTTTGTTGCTAGGCGTTTTTTGTGCTTGCTGCATATCATGGTAGAGCAGCAGGGGAAAAAACCACCAAAGCAACGGTCATACAATGCAATAATACCTGGCTTGTATCATTGTTCCCGAGAAATTCGTTCACATCCGTTCATCACTAACCAGCTCTCAGCCTGAAAAGGCTCAGAGAGAACTTGTTAGGTGAGGCTACTGCATACCCCTGGCTAGCGCATATCGGTGGGCAGATTTCATCTCGCCCCGTTTGCGTGGGAGGGCCAGACCTCTGAGATTTTCTCCATTTGCGTAACGGCATACGGCCAATCCCGCGGAGAGGAAGCTGATAAAAGTCCGCACGGTGTTTGCTCAGCATTGCGGCAACCACGACTTGGTGGCAAACGTTTATTTTCTGCGTTTCTGTATGTTTTTTGTCCCCACGATGTAGATGCACCCGAGTCGAGGAAGAGGGCCGAGGAGATTGACAAAGACGTCGAGGTCGAGGACAAGACTTGAGCAGAGCCGCGTGAACATGGAGCCTGCCGTACGAAGGCTGCTGAAATACCGAAAAAAGGAAATACACAGCGCGAGCGCCTTAGTCAAAAATTGACAGACGGGAATTATGAGAAAGAAGTGGAATAATAGTCGAAATCGACTATTATGAGAGCAACTGCATATCACTCACTAAATTGCCCTATATAGTTACATGTACATGAATAAAAAAGAGAAGGGAAAAAAGGCAACGCTAGGTAGCATCGGATACGGGAGTGGACAGCTCAAGGCTTGCCTTCTTCATACATCCAAACAGAGAGAGAGAGAGAAAGCGAGGGCGTCTGCACCGTCCCAAGAATGCCCGAGATAGGTGGTTGACCAGTGCGTACGTTGTGTAGCACCCGCCTCAGATGAGGACAGACCAAGGGAGAAGGTAGAACAAGATGGAATCCAGGGAGAGCAGGGTATAGAGGTTGATGCATGGAGGCAAGGAAAGCATCGGTGGACTGGACAACAAAATGAGCCGAACAGCCAGCAAGCCATAAGTGACTAGGTACCTTCACGAGCTGCATATGTACGAGAAAGAGACCCACAACCTAAACTCATGTCGTGTAGCAGAACCCAACTGCGATATATTGCGTCCTCCGTTGTTCTTCTCCTTTCCATCGTGGTGCTTGGGCCCTCCTTTCTACGAAGTGGATGCTGAGAGCAGAGAGAGACAAGGGTGGAACAATGGGGCTGTGGTGGCAAACTTGACGACAAGATGGGCAAGAAGAGGCCGTGACATGGCAAACACCGTAGCTGGGCATGATCAGAAACGGAAGGAGGGGAAGGAGAAGGAGGACGAGATACAAAAAAGGGAAGGAGGGACCAAGACAGTCCGTACGAAGAGAGGTCTCCCAGCACAAGGACGTGTACGACTGTACATTGTCTGTTGTATTACTCGAGCAAAGCGCCACGAAAATGTGGCCATCTGTCATGCCAATAAGAGGAAAAGTTGCGGTGTCGTGAATGAGGTGTCCCTTGCCGTCGCCGTTTTCGCCCTGACCGAAAAGGTCGCGCTTGCCATTGCAGTTCTTAGCAGCCAAGAGTGTCCGCGGCCGAGTCACACCAGTTGCTCCGTCTACGCATGGTATGAAGTGAGATTTCGTTGATGCTAACGGACACTTTCTGCTCTGTGATTGTGTCTCCCCGTGAAGGAAGGAAAGAACCCGACCGTTGTCAATTGCCGTTGCCAGGCGGCTGGTTCGTCTCGAGATTTGGATGTCCTCTGTCCCAACACTGAACACAGCAGCCGTCTGCGCGTTATCGTGTTGTACTTGCTTATATGTGACCGATATGGTATGCTGTTGGCGTCGTCTCCTTCACGTATTTCACCCTTGTGACAAACCTGTACCACGGAGTGTGGATCCCCTTAATATTACGGCAAGAGCTGTGCAAATTCTCAAATATATTGAAAAGTAAGGTGTGTCGAGCCGCACAGAAGACTTCACGAAGCCGGTATTACCGGGTTCTTTCAACATGCTCGTTTGTGTGATTTCTAACCATCTATGTCGTATATGGTCAGTTTCAGCCTCGCTCAGAACGACCGGCCGCAAGTCCACCCGCCATACACGACTAATGGTACTACAAAATGGTGGGGTGGATTTGCACTTCAGGGCAGTTGAGCGAACCACACGAGCGCCAGTGTCCGGTGTTGGACGGCGGGAAAGGGCGGCCGGTTGGTAATCGGAGTCAAGGTGGGGAACGACATCGCAGAACGTCATTGATCGGCGGGTTTATACTTCACGCCATATATTGACATATCAAGTGGTTGATTATCGATAATTATTTGCGACACGAGTCTTGAATATTAGGTATCGTATCGTATTCCACAATTACGGACGTGTCCTTTACGCTTACCACTCACCAGCAGCATTAATAACTTATAAAAATGGCCGAACACGTCGAGCGCTTCAACCCATCCAAGGAACTGCCCATCATCACCTACGGCCTACCTTACGAAGACGCAATTGCAAATCACCTGACATCAACTGTGAAGCGCTCACGGCCGTATCTGCTGGTGTCTGGGTCGCTAAGCCGCGACACGGATGTCGTTGACCGCCTGACCAAACGTCTGCACACCGCCGGCGTCGAGGTTGCTGCCGTCCGCGAGGGCATCCGCTCACACACGCTGTACGCGGACCTGCTACCGATCCTCGCCGAGATTCGCTCCACCAAGGCAGACTCAATCGTCGTCGTGGGCGGGGGCAGCCTCGTGGACGGCGCCAAGGTCCTGTCCTACGCTTCGGCCAACGGCGTCGACTCGCACGAGGCTTTTGAGACGCTGGCCGAGCGCAGCGGCTCCGGCGGCGGCCACGATGTCAAGAGCTCAGAGATTCCTTACATGTGCGCGACAACCACACTCTCGGCCGGCGAGTACAGCTCTTTTGGCGGCGCTACCAACGAGCGCACTCACCAAAAGCATCTCTTTTACGACCCGTCGCCCGACGCGGGCCACCGCGTCATCGTCATCGACCCGCGGTTGACGCTGACCGCACCGCCAAGCGTGTGGCTGTCCACCGGCATGCGCGCCGTCGACCACTGTGTCGAGACGGTGTGCTCCCGCGGGCCCAAGCCTGAGGCGACCGCGGCCGCGCTGCAGGGCATCCGGCAGCTGATCCCGGCGCTGCTTCGCTGCAAGAAGGATGCCAACGACCTGGACGCGCGTCTGCAAGCCCAGCTCGGTGCCGGCCAGAGCATGAAGGGCGTTGTTGTGTACGGTGTCGAGCTGGGCGCGTCCCATGGCATCGGCCACCAGCTGGGCCCGCAGGGTGTGCCTCACGCCGGTCAGTCAGCTCGCCGTTCTATTGTGTTGTCCCCGTTCGCAACTAACCCTCTGCCCGTCAACTAGAAACAACCTGCGTTTTGCTCCCGGCTGTCCTCAAGTACAACGCGCGCGTCAATACAGACCAGCAGAAGCTTGTGCTAGACACGCTCTGGGACGAACCCATTGTCGCCGAGGTGTTGGTGAAGCAAGGCAAGCTAGAGCGCGACACGGCCGATCTAGGCGACACCCTCGATGTGATCATCCGCGTGCTCGACCTGCCGCGGGCCCTGTCGCACTATGGAATCGGCCGCGACAAGCTCGAGAGCATTGCGACCCTGAGCTTAAAAGACTGGATGTGTAAGACAAACCCGGTGCCTTTGGAGACGGTGGAGCAGGTTGTCCAGATCTTGGAGCAATGTCTATAAGAAAACGCGATGGGAACACGACGGGATGTGGATGGAACAGTAGGCAAACGGTTCGTTCCCGTTTATCATACTAAAAGTCTGATAATATAAGAAGCATAATAATTTGACAAAGGAACATAAAAGTTCGGTGTATGAACTGTGGAAGTCATGTTATGTTGACTATTACCCGTCATTTCAACAGCATTGCGCATTAAGACAATGTTTATCGATAAGGCATGCTGAAGCAGTGATTGGCGCTGCTCGCTGAGTTGCCCCTATTTTTTTTTTTTCGTTCTTTATCGCCTATCCGCTACTTGCAAGTTCCCTTCACAATATTTCCGACGTCTACTTTACGCTGAAAACGTACAGTCGAACTGTTGAGACGGACCGCAACCCTCAGCAACTTGCTACGTTTTCGACTTACATCTTCCACTCCCTCGCCATGTTCGCTGTCCCGGGCTGGTCGGTTTCGGCCGACAAGCTCAAGACAGAGACTCTGAACAAGCCTCCACCACAAGAGAAGGGCGTCAAGGGCCACTCGACCAAGGGCACTGGTGCCAATGCGACCGCGCTTTTCGCCGAGCCGGCCGCCAAGAAGCGGAAGCGAGAGAAGGCGGCCAAGAGAGAGTCTAGTGGTCCCCAGATCACGGGCAAAAACCTCGCCGAGATGTGGGAACGCGTGATCGAGAAGAGAGATCCGTCGCAGCGCACCGAGGGCGGTGCTCCACCGTCCAAGAAGTCAAGACGGAACAAGAAGGACAAGTCAGAGGTCGAGGGCGAGACAGAGGCGGCAACGAAACCAAACAAGCCAGCTGCTGCGCAGCATGTTTCTGAACCGATCTCGATCCCGACCAAGTCCCCCGCGTCCAAGGAGACGCCCGACCGGGACGAGGCTAAGCCTGCGAAGAAGTCCGGGGCCAAGGCACGCATCGACAGTGTCCCGGTAGCAAGCGAGAAGTCCGACCATTCGACACAGAGCGGCAAAGTCAAGGACAAGAAGGAGAAGAAAGTCAAGGCTGCCGAGGCCGACACGTTCGAGCACACACCCAAAACCGATAAGCAGGAACATAAGGATAAAAAGGACAAAAAGGACAAGAAAAAACGCGAAGATGTCCAAATGGAGGACGTTCAGACCACACCAAAGGAGCAGACACCCAGCAAGAAGCAAAAGGCAGACAAGCTCAAGCAGGACAAGCCCATCGCATTTACAGCAGCTGCTGCTGTTGCTGCTGCGTCCCCGGCCGCTGCCACTGCTGGCGTCCTCTCTCTCCCGCCGGCCGGTCCCAAGCTCACGCCGCTGCAGGCGTCCATGCGTGCCAAGCTCGTGTCCGCTCGCTTCCGCCACCTCAACGAGACCCTCTATACGACTCCCTCCGCCGAGGCCCTGCGTCTCTTTGGCGAGTCGCCCGACATGTTCCACGCCTACCATGAGGGCTTCCGGCAGCAGGTCTCGGTCTGGCCCGAGAACCCCGTCGACGGCTACGTAGCCGAGGTGCGCCGGCGCGCCGGCAAGGGGTTCTTCTGGCGGGAAGTTGGGTGGTGGCGGTCGTGGTGGCGGTCGGGGACGAGGCGGTCGTGGCGGCCGTGGCGGCTTTGGTGGCCACCACCACCGCGACCCCACGGATACCCTGCCCCGCACCCATGGGCAGTGTCGTCTCGCTGACATTGGCTGCGGCGATGCGCGCCTGGCTGCTTCGCTCGCGCCCGATGCTGCGGCCCTCCGCATCGAGGTGCTGAGTTTTGATCTGCACGCCGACCCCAACAACCCGTTTATCACGGCGGCCGCGGACGCCTCGGACCTTCCACTGGGCCCGGGGTCCGTCGACGTCACCGTGTTTTGCCTCGCACTCATGGGCACCAACTGGCTGTCCTTTGTCGAGGAGGCCTACCGCGTGCTGCGGTGGAAGGGCGAGCTGTGGGTGGCGGAGATCAAGAGCCGCTTTGCGGGCGGTGCGGAGATGCGCGCACGCCTCAAGCAGAAGCAGCAGGCGAACCAAAAGGGTCCCGTCTCGCACAGCGTTGGCTTCCGGCGAAAGAATGGCATCAAGGGTGGCAAGAAGGCTGGTCAGGACGAGGATGACCCGGATGTTGTGGCTGCCGCCATCAGCGAGGTGGACGGCGCTGATGAGGGTGGCAGCACGGGTGCTACCGATGTGTCTGCCTTTGTGCAGGCACTACGCCGTCGTGGCTTTGTCCTGGACGAGAGTGCTGCCTCTGGCGAGGATGGCCCGCCCAAGTCGACGGGTGGCAAGCCGCCTGCGGTGGACCTGAGCAACAAGATGTTTGTCAAGATGCGCTTCATCAAGGCGGCGCCGCCGATGGTTGGTAAGGAGGAGGTCATGCAGTCACTCAATGGTGGCCGGGGCAGCGATGGCGGCGCCAAAAAGCCGTCGGTGTTCGACGACGACAAGAACAACCAGAACGCAGACCCCATGGCCGACCCGGCGCTGGAGGCGAAGATCCTCAAGCCGTGTGTGTACAAGCTGCGGTAATATTCTGGTCACAGTTGCGTTTTCTAGTAGACATCTGTTCTTGGCGTTTTCCAGGAGCATTTGTTTGGTTTGTCGGTCGAGACAATGTAGCGATAAGGTTACCTCTGTTTGTAAACATGACATCATGAGCACCACTTGATACGTCTACATGAAATGGGGCACGCATCAGAGACGAATAAAGTGCATCGCCAATTCGTTCGTCGATGAGGTCAAAACAGAAACCTTGAGCAAAAACCAAGTTATATCCCTAAATAAAGTAATGCCAATCGCCTATAAAGCCCATCGCCCAATATTGATAACCATGCACATCCTTATGGCTGATCTCGACTGCTGTTTAACGTCTCGTCCATGTCGTGTATTTGATGCTGTCGATTGTACAACCACTATAAATCTCCCCTTCAAGTCTACACCTGGAAGAGCAAACTCGCTGCATATTGCACGTTTCCACCAGTAGCCTCCAGCGACTGCAAGACAGCTTCCCGCGGGAACCCCAACGCCATCAGCTGCTGAACATCTTCTTCTGGAAATGAGGCACCGCCTGCGGCAGGTGGCTGCGGCGAGCGTGCAGCAGCTGGTGCGGGTGTTGCGGCGGAGAGCGGCTGCTGCTGAGTCTGCGTCTGAGGCTGAGGCCGAGCTGGCGCTGAGGCGGGTGCTGGTGCTGCAGGCGGTACTTGTGCCGCTTCTGCGCTTGAGCCCTCTTGGCCCTCTGGTCCAGAAACGACACCCGAGCGCTGACCGATTGTCGTTCCGCTGGGGCCGGGAAACGTTGGCTCCTCGGCCAGTGCCTCCTCCGAGTCCTTGGGAATGTCCGCCTCGCCGAGGAAGGGGATCTCGACATCCTGGATAATCAGGCGGTCCTTGGCCAAGTCAATGGATGCTTGATAGCGTTTTAGCATATCCAGGCCGAGAAGCAGGTCGACCGACTTTCCCTCCATCACAGTGAAGCTGCAAGGCAAGAAGAGGCTGCCGATCTTGATCTGTGCGGAGTGCACACGGCCGATGATCGTGGCCGTTCCGACACCACGCGCCACACCCGCGAAACGCTTGTCCACAAGCCGCATGATACCGCAAGCCTCGGCGCAGCCCGGAGACATGATGGTGGCCTGCGCGCCCGAATCGACGAGGGCCTTCACCTTGTATCCGTTCACCTCCACGTCTACATACAACATGTGCACGCGACCGAACACTTGAGGAAAGAAGAGTTAGCAAAAAATTCGTCGACGAATATGGCGTGGGCCCGACCACTGCCTACCTTCTGGGTTGTGCTCCATTGCATTCTGGAGGTTTTCCATCACACGCTCTTGCCGGATAATTTCTTCAATGCGCGCCTGTGCCTCGATATCGAATGGGTCTGCGTTTAATTGTGCGATCTGGCGTTGGCGGTCCTGACGCTCGCGCCGTTCCCGGTCGTAGTTGTTGTTGAAGAACTGGGCGAATAGCTGCGGGTCGTCAATCACTGATGCAAGCTGTGGCTGCTGCCGTATGGCCTCTTCACGCAGGCGCGGGTCGCCCAAAATCTGCAGTCGAATCACTTCGGGGTCTGGCTCGCCCGGCTGCCGCTGCCGGGTGCCTGCCGCTGCCGCCGCGCCGCCGGCCTGCTGCGAAGCCCTTGCGCCAGAGCCAGCGCCCGGGTTTCTGGGCTCGCGGATGTGCATAGCAATCATGTCCCCGTTGGTCACATGGAGGGCCTCGAGAGTCTGTGCTTTGTCGGTGATGAGGTTGCCATCGTGGTACAGGTGCTGCGCAGTCGGCGGGATCGAGGTCTCGGCTTCGATGGAACTCTGGAGCGTCTCGACGGTCATTTCTGGGTACACCTCGAGCGACAGCAGATCCGGCTCGTCGCTGTGTGCCCTCGACACGGTCACCGTGATTTGCCTAGAGGTTTGGCACATTTGTCAGCACGCGACACGAGGCAGGACGGTGCGCGTGGAAGGTGAAGCAAAGATGGTGGGCTTGAGCATAGAGGACGCCGATGGGGAACAGCCAGCTTACATTGTGGGCAAGCTAGTGCACAGAGCGAAGTTCGATGTCTCTATATCGAATCGAAGGCTAGGTTGTTGTTCAAGCTTTCTTGACGCCCACAAGGCTTGGCTGCTTTTGTTTGGAAGATCAACGGATCTGTCGAACGAGATCGAATTTGGCGGCGGACAGAAGAAAGAAAAGTTGGATAGGGCAAAAGAAAAGTGAAAACTATTTCAAAAACATGTCTGATGAGAAAGTGAAGTCGTGCTGGGAGGCGGGCGGAAGTGCAAATCGTGCTTTGATGAAGGCGGCGATGGAGACAAACGGAAGCGTATGGAAACGTCAATTGGCGGCGAGGCTTACAAGCGACTTTCAGCAGGTGCCGGCCGCCAGTCACAGTAGTGCCCTTGCCTCAGAGACGACGCATTGGGACGCCTGCCTAGCTCGGATGTGAAAGGTATGGTTGGCCAGGCTTAGGGCCCATTTAGCCAACAGGGGCTGCGGTGCCTTCCGAACGTAGAATGCGGGGTCTAGACTTGGGTAAGAGGCTGAAGAGGCAAGTACCCAAGAAAGAAGGAGCAGCCTGGATGACAGACATTCCGATACTCAATGCCTGGGCTTGTTCGCTATGACAAGCTCATTTCACAGCAAAAAAGATAAGATACACTCTCCCGACTGTTTGAAGAGAAGTAAGAAACGTCATTGGTAGTCAAGCACAAGAGTTTCACTGAAGGCGGCGCGATCAGCTACAGATTAGAAGAATCCCTTTCATCGGCCACGCAATGCGATCGTAGTGAGAGGGCCATTCTGTTATTCTTGCGCCGTCGGTGAATCAGGAATCGGTGTTTCATACTCTTCATTCCTTTCTAACCTCATGAATGTATGCTTGGTCTCTTTGTGTCTGTTTTACTTTCATGCGTGGTCCTGTCCATCCGTGCAGAAATGAGTGTTTGCCAGCAAAGCGGCCAGTACCTGATTGGTAAAGGTAGGAGCAAGTGGCATGTGTGGATTCGCATCAGAATGAGTTAATGGACGACAGGCTCGCAGGGAAGGATGGCTGGATGGCTGGGTGGGGCAGCACGCCAGCAATCGCGCAGTCTTTGCCGCTCCGTTCTTTCCGCCCCTCTTAGCGCACAAACAAGCAGTTCCCTGCCCAAACCTGCAAAAATCGAGCCACAGACCGTTGCACTGATTTGACACTGGCCTTGCGGTGACTGACACAGCACCTTCCCGCTACTTTGCCTTCCACACAGGCCCGAACATAACCCGGAGGTTGTCCCTTCTCAATATCTCGATTTCTGCTGTTTGCTCGTTCTCATTCCGTTCTCCAAAGAGGACAAGCAATCTCATCGACAGCACCCACCACCTCTCATGCACACATCGTCCTGATGTCCTTGCACAGCGTATCGTATTAGTTACTTTACATCCTACCCAGCCTTTTCAACGCTGCGGCCATGTCCCGCTCCCGACCGCCGTTTGCCACCCTCCTTCTCTCCATGTCGAGGTAACCGCCGACGCCATGTCCGAACCTTCTATCTTACTATCTCGACCATCACTAGACGCCAGCGGCGGACACGATGTCTCATCGCCGGCTAACACGCGCCCTCCTTCGCCCAAGTTGGGCAACTTCGCTTCTATTTTCGACGATTGGCCCGCCGGTGTCTCCTCGGCACTCGACCAACTCACGGCCACCAACCAGGGCGATCCCGTGAAGTCTCTTCACGCCTCTGAGCCTGCCGTGTTGTCTACATTTTCTGGCTCGGCGGTCGACGCCCCTCGCGGGTCTGCCTACAATGCTGGCTTCTTATGCGGCCTCGATTTCTCTACGATAGGCTCTCCGAGCGGAACTCCGGGCTCTCTTCTTCCCGACACGACTTCAGAGGATGGCAGTGGTGGAGAGGACGACGACAGGGCCAGAGACGTGGATGGTGTCACTGCGGGAATTCTTCTTCCCGCCCCGGCCGACCTCTACGCGGCGAACCTGAATACAGTGCTCATCGCCTCGCCTTCCGCTTCGCCGCCGACAGGTATCGCAACCGTGACTGTCAAAGCCGCCGCTGCTGTGGCCGATGTAGCTACGCCAACACGGCCAATGTCCATCTTGAAGTCCCCCAAACGAACTCCCGGTCCCGTCGGCACGCCTGGTAGCATGGGTTACAGCAAGGCCATGGGCCAATACGACTTACCTTACCCCCTTTCCTCCTCGCTGCTCCTTTCGTCCCCCATGGCCGGATCGCCCATGTTCAGCCATCCTATCCAACCTCTGTCGTGGCATACCAAACAAGAGAAACTGGCTCTGCTTGAGATGAAGCTCAAGCCCGAATACAAACGGGACCGCGCGCTGAAGTTTCCCGGGGCTGAAGCGGTATCACCGGACGCTGGCCTTCTTCATGTTTTCGTGGATCTCTCGAACATTGTGATTGGATTTTACAACCGCATTAAAATTGACCGTGGTTTTACCCAAGACAAAAAGATGACGGCGCCACCCTTTTTCTTTGACGGTTTGGCGCGCATCCTCGAGCGCAATCGGCCTTCTGCACGCCTTGTCACAACGGGGTCTGCGCCTGACTACTACGACCGACGAACTTGGCCGGCGTATATGCGGCAGGCAGCTGCCCTGAACTACGAGATGAATATTCTTGGCCGTGTCGCTAAGCTTCCCCCATCACCGAAGCTGAAGTCGTCCACCAAGCATTACAACAGCAACAACCACGCTTATAACAACATGGGCCACAAGAAGAGCTCAAGCCGTGGCCACAACACCGGGAACAACTTGTTTGCAGAGAGTTACTCATCTGACGAAGGTGTTACCGCCAACTCACACTCCATGAAAATCGGCGAGCAGGCCGTTGACGAAATCTTACAGCTCAAGATGTGCCACAGTCTTTTAGATCATGACCCCGGTACCATTGTCCTAGCGACTGGTGATGCGGCCGAGGCCGAGTTCTCGGATGGATTCTTTAAACACGTCCAACGGGCGTTGGTCCTGGGCTGGTGTGTCGAGCTGCTCTCCTGGAAAATGGGGATCTCGAGCGCCTGGCGTGACCTGGAGCGGAAGGAGAAGGGAACTGGCCGATTCCGCATCATTGAGCTCGACAGGTATGCGGAAGATCTTCTTGACATGTGCATTGATTGAGTTCTGCAGGCTTATCGTCGGGGTTGCAATTCTAACCCTGTGGTATCCCAACACCACGACCTTGCTCCCTTTTTGTCTGCTTTTTTGGCATTGTTTTGTTGTTTTACCGTTTTATGACCGACCAGCCCTCGGCTCGGATTTTATCGTTGCATCCCAGCAGAGCACCATAACGCCATTGTCATCCGGTTGCTTCCGAAAGGACAACAGATGTTCACGGTTCAAGGTCAGGAGAGCAAAGTGTTTACCTTTATTAGCACTTTACTCTTCCTGATTCTGTTTTAATCCTCTTCCATCACTCGCCGTCCTCAAGACTTGAGTTGTCGGTGTTGGTATTGATAGAAGACGTGCCCATATTTATAGTGGCAAAATTGCAAGGTTGCTTCTGGATGGGAGCTGTTTCTGATTTGAATATGTTTGCATTTTATGTTTATGAGCTACCATTGTTTTTGTTTTGTTTCTTTCTCTAGTTTCTGTCTCTTGCCTTATGTTTCTTCTCTGTTGGACATTTTACTTGTTTTTCCGGCATTTCGAGCCTTCGTTTTGAGACTTCACCCAAGTTTCTTGCCAGCAACAAGCAAAGCGATTTGAGCATCTGGACGTGATTTGGAGACGCCACGTTGTTTTCAGTTTCTGATTGCTTTCAGAGCACATCTGCATTACGATGAGTATTATGAAATGGCCATGATTTGTTTTTCTTTCGCATCTTGAATTGATTGTCGGTTTTTGATTTGTCATTGAATACGATATTTTGATTTTGAAACTACACATTTACATCCAAGCCGTGAATGTATATTTGCTCGGCCACTGTTGACATCTTGCTTCTTGGGGCCCGGCTAAAAGAAGTCCTCAAGAGAATCCTCCATCGCAGCCTCGTCTGCCGCATCTCGCTCCCGCTTTAGCCGCTCCGCCTCGTCCGCCCTGCGCGCCTGTTCCACAAACGACAAAAACCACCGCGCCGCCACCAACTGCGAGTCGTCCACGCTGTCAAACCGCTCCCATGCTTCGAGGGCCATGCGGCCAAAGCGCTCGGCCTGGTTGAAGTTGCGCATGTCCAAGTGGATGGATGCTACGATGTCGTACATTTCGGCGTGCAGCGGCGTGACGCCCTCGGCCTCGGTGGTCTCTTGGAGTGTCTCGGCGGTCAGAAGCGCCAGGTCGTACTCGCCGCTGCGGCTGGCCTGGACCAGTGTGGCCTGCAGTTTGCGCATGTCGCGGCGGCGGTCTTCGGACAGGGTCATGGCGTCTGGGTCGGCGCGGCAAAGCGAGCAGCTGCAGTTGAAGTGCCAGTTGTTTTGCAGGAACGCACGGCGCTCCGTGCGGGACAGGGTAAGCTGGGCATCTAGGGAGGGAGGGAGAGACAAGGGAGGTCAGCACTGGAAATAGAGTGCGTTCAAGAGGGCCGTCGCTTGTGCACCACTAATCAAGAATGTTCATGACGTACAGCTGATGGTAATCTCTTCGCCCGGCTGGATGTCCCGATAGGCCACGACCTCAATTGAGAGCGTCCGGTGCGAGAATCGGTAATAGGCACTGTTGAGCTGTTAGAAGAGACCCGATATGTCTCCCAGGGGTATGATAAACTTACTTTGGGTTGCAAGCATGGTTGATTCGCTATTCAAGAGGTTAGCTTCTTCTTTTCTTCATTTATGGGCGCCGATTTCTCAAGGACCTACCGACAGCTCGGGGTAGAGACCGAGATGCAGCTGATTCATCCCCAACGCCAGGCTGATGGTGTTGGTGCCCAGGATGGCGTCCACGACGTCGCCGCCGGTGCTCGTCGACAGCGCAAACACCCGCTTCTGAGTTTCCGCGGGCAATTGCGAAAGGCCGCGCCGAATCAACCGCCGACGAGGCAACGGTGCCGTGTCCTCCAGAAACGCCTTGCTGAGCAACACGGCCGGCAGGTCCAGCATGGCAATCTCGCCCTGTGCAATCTTGCGTGCGGCCACGACACCGAGGCCCTTGCCGGGGGTGGGCTGGATCATGTAGGCACCGTTGATGGGCCCCGGCACAAAGTCGCGGTGGCGCGATCCGCCATAATACGGCCGGTCTTCGAGGGCGTCGGCGCTGACCACGTCGGCGGCAATCTCAGGCGCGGTGAGCAGACTGACGCCATGCAGTCCGCCCAAGACCGAGTCCGAGTACAGGCAGTACCGGATGTCGTGGCCCTTTCGCGGGGTATCCTCACTGCCTTTGGTCTTGAGGCAGCGCACAGGGTGCGTCCATGGATAGCGCGGTGGGTTGCGATAGGGTCGAATGCGCTTGATGTCGGTCAGTGGCGGCGGGCAGTGGTGGTAGACTGCCCGCAAGAAGGGGTT